CGTCTCCTACAAGAAGCTCACAACCACAAAACCGCTTCCCCAAACGTTGAAATCCACCTCATCCCTCTTATGTTGCTCGTATTCTTAAATGGCGGAGACCGATGATAGAATTGCAATTGAAAATTTCTTCAATGGCGGAAGATGCGAAGGAAGGCAGTCAACGGTTCTTCGTTCCTCTCCCGTCGTCGGCAGCAAAGAAGATCAAGGGTAAGATCCCCCGGTGCTCATCTTCATCGGATTAAGGAGGAGAAGCACGATTGGAATCAGAAATCGGGAAGCACCTCCAGTGCTTCACCGATTCGAAGGAGGAGGAGGAAATTATCGATTCCCGGTGAGCCTTCCTTGACCGTCATCGGTAGAAATCGAGGTAAACGAGTCGTTTTCTTGTATGATTTCGACGAAATAAACGGAGGGAGGAAAGGGGAAACTATTTATGTGGTTCTTGTATGATTGAAGATGAGGATGTTTGAATGAAATCGGAACAACAAGGATGGTAGACTCCGAGATTTTTACTGGATCGTGGGTGAAATTAGGAAGCAATATGCTGCTCGTATTCTTCAATGGCGGAGACCGATGAAGAAGATGATGTTGAATCTGGATTCATGTAGAATTGGGGATAAAGGCCTGGCACTTAGCAGTTAATTACACCATATTAAAAATTCTTTCAATTTTAGCATTTGGTTGAGCACATAAACGAAGTTCATTGTCAACTCCAGTAACAACCCTAGAGTCTGAAGAAGAAGATGTTGACTTAATTTTGAAGCCCTTTTAGCCACCAAAGCCTTATCAGAATCCATTTAGCTCTCTCATGATAATGCTTCAAAAGAGCTTCAACAATGCATGTATAAGCTTCTTATTTTAAAGGTATGATGCCTACCTTCACACATTCCATTCATGTTTACACACGAGCCATTTATTTGCTATGGTCTACTTATTTCACTACTAATCACTTGGTTGTCCTTGACATCCTTGTGCATTCTGTACAATTGAACCTAACGATGCTACTATTCTTTCAGAATGAAGAAGGGAAATATTCTTCACATGTAATCCTTCAAATTGGAATGCAAACACATATTCATTCTATAAGAATGAACTCGATTTTTTTTCTTTAATTTTTTTCATATAAGAATGCAAACACTTGTTCATGCGAAAACATAAATACATTGCGAAAATGCGAAACCAGAATATATCTTATAAAAATCAAACACATGTATTTCAGAAATTAAATTTATTAGCAATAAATTGAAGATAATAAGTTTACATGGGAGGGTGTTATGGCAATATAGATTTAAAAGTGGTTTTAATATTCGTTTCTCTCTTTTTTTTCATCTCCTTAACCACGTTTTAATTCAAGTTTTCATAATAAAAAAAGTCAAAAAACATGCTATGCTAATATGAAACAATTTTTCACGTATTATCGATTATCATCGTGTAGTTCAAAATTTGGATGAGTTCTTGTCCAAAATACAAGGTTGCGGTAGCACAATCTCATAGGTTTTGATCATCACTTTTCATAAACTTATTCCTAGCAAATCGTTTGTTTCTTTTTGTTAGTTGTAACATTTTAACAACCGTAATTTATGTACACATCAAGTTTATAAAACATTTTACGTAAACAAAATATGATTTCACAAGTATTTCCCTAAAAATCATAAAATCAAAAAAGAGGGGATGTTGAAACAAACCCTCGAAGCGTGTGGTAAGTTCGTTGAGAAAACCGGGTCGTTTTTTTTTTTTTTTTTACTTTTAAACGAAGCACTTTTTGAACAATTCGAGCACCTGGAGTTGCAGATCGGCACATTTGGAACATAGGGAACCACATTTTACAACAAACGGAGCACCAGAGGTAGTTGTCGGAGGTCGATGCGCCGACAGCCACGACGATGCATGGTTAGTGGTTTTGCCTTGTTCGGAGCCTGTTTTGCGACACATAGATATAGGGGATGAGCAAGGGGGAGTAGGGGTGTTTGTGGGTTGTTACGATCGAAGGAGGGAGGCTGGAGTGTTGGTGGTCGGTGGCGTTTTTCTCCAGAAAAGAGGTAGTATAGAAAGGGTTAGAGAGAGAGAGAGCTAGAAATCGATAATGAGAATGAGAGAGAGATAAGAGGGAATGAGAGGATTGCATGAATCTTGAGTAATATTTAGGTATAACAATTGATTTTAAAAAATATTTTCAAAGATTTTCGGAAGATTTTACTTAGATTTCTTAAATATTACAAGTACGACAATGTACTTTCATGATTTCGTAATGTTGTCGTCTCTCGTTTTCTCGATTCTTGTGCACTCATCCGACCTCGTAAAAATATCTTTAAAGTTTTTTGAGATAGTCTCGGATTTGGTGATTTGAAAAATGCAAACGGAATTCAAATCTGATACATGGAACTATGTGAAAACGATGTTTAAAGACTCAAGTTTAAAAAAAAAAGTTCTAGACTGAAAGTTTTTGTAAAATTATTTCAAAAACGCATGTGGATTGTCCGGAGTGTGCTGACTCCATTAATGTAATCGGAATTTTTAAACAAAAGACGATACTATGTTTAAAATGCGTTTTTAGTTTTGTAAATTGATATTGTTAGCCGGCTAGTTTTCGTTATTTTGAAAAGCCCGTAACTTTTGCATACGAACTCCGTTTCTGACAATTTTTATATCCATGTAGTCGTGAGAACATATTCTATCAAAACTGATAATCATTTGTCCCCAAGTACACCTAATGCATAAGTTTTATTTTTAGGGCATTAAACGATATTTATTTTCATGAATTGTTTTCTATTCGTTAACAGTTGTCAACTTTTTGAGCAATTTGAAGTTTTCTATGTGCAATTATTAGTAACATAAATTCTATTGCATCCCAAAACATAGAACAACTTACAATAGGTCCTATTATAGTGGCGTTAGCGGTGGTTTCACCGGCGAACTTTGTCCTATTTTTACTAGTTGTTACATTGAAGTAACTGATAACTCTTTAGCTAATTGTGATAATTTTGCAATTAAATGTTTTTTGTTTTTATTTATTCATGATTTTAATAATTGAATGAAAAATGTAACATAATATTCAAATAAAGATATCGGATTAGGTACCTATGATAAATTGTTCATTGTATTATAATTATTCTACGCTTTTTATGTAAAAAATCTTTGTGCAGTACAAAGAGATATACTATGCACCGAACAGATGCACAGTTATGATTACTATATATTCAAAGTTTTAGCCAGACAATCTAAAACACTAAAAGATATTTTAGATTCAACTTTCATTTAAAAAATTTCCATTTCTAAGTTGTATCTGAAGTATGCTTCCATTTTCATTTAATTTTTCTTAAATTTATATGTCCATGTTTCCTTTAAATTTATAGAATGCTCAAAGGAGTATGAAATACACAAATTTCCAGGAAGTTCAAACACATCACTTATTTTTAATAAATAAATAAATCTCATGTTTTATTCTATAACTATAACTAGAGGGGTTACCCGCGCGTTACGCGGGGTGGAATGTGTTCGTTTTGTGAGACAAATAATGAAGTACATTGCATAAATTGGTATCCAAATTAAAGTATG